TGTTAAGTATGACAAGCGGATAATAAAGGTTTTGGTCTTAGATACCACAGAATGAACTGAAAGGGCACAGAAAGGTCAATAATGTGACTAGATTCACACTGTAGAAAAGCGAGTAATGGTGGTTTAGAGTGGATTATAAAAAGAAAGATGGGGACCTTAATTAAGGTAATTATTTGTGCCTAGAGAAGACTCAATGCATTTATAAATATAGAAAATATACAAGGATCACTAATTATAGGCTCAATGTCCTTTATTTATGGCTAGAAACCAAATATGAGTGAGTACATCCTGTGTCCTTTTTTTGGGTCTGGCTTACCTCACTCAGGATAATGTTTTCTATTTCCATCCATTTGTACGCAAAATTCAAGTCCTTGTTTTTTACTGCTGAGTAATACTCTAATATGTATATATTCCATACTTTCTTCATCCATTCTTCCATTGAAGGGCATCTAGGTTGTTTCCAGGTTCTGGGGATGTTCTATCGGGAATTCACCAAGGCCAGCTGGCCTGGGTCTGAAAAAGCATGGGATAAAAACCGGGCTTGCTGAACATAGAGGACAATGAGGACTACTGAGAACTCAAGAACAATGGCAGTGGGTTTTTGATCCTACTGCACGTACTGGCTTTGGCGGAGCCTAGGCAGTTTGGATGCTCACCTTACTAGACCTGGATAGAGGTGGGCGGTCCTTGGGCTTCCCACAGGTCAGGGAACCCTGATTGCTCTTCGAGCAGATGAGGGAGGGGGACTTGATCGGGAGGGGGGGAGGGAAATGGGAGGCGGTGGCGGGGAGGAGGCAGAAATCCTTAATAAATAAATTAAAAAAAAGAAAATATACAAGGAACAGAACATATATAAATGAAAAGGGAATCACAGATAACTCTGGAATTTGACTTAGGCAACAGACTGGATGTCGTTTCATTCTTCCTGAGACACGGAATAAGAGGAAGACATTGTAGGATATTTGGGTTGAGAACATGGGTGTCATTTTGAGTTATTGTGCTTTTAGATGTATGTGGAAATGAAAGTGTCCATTGGTTTCATATTCTGGAGCCTGGACTTCTCTATCAGGATACAAAGAGCATAGGGCTGTACTCACTACTCATTCAGCAAGTATGAAGTTGATTTCTACTATATTGATAGTGTGTATGTTAGTCATGCAGAGATAGGAATTATCTCTCTAGAATTTTCCTTTAGATATATGAAACAACAAGAGCGCACACGGAACTTTCCAGAGTAAATTTAATTGTGAGAACAGATTTAAAACATTTCAAAGTAGGCAAGAAAAAAATTTCTCAAAGAGCAAGGAACAAGCTATTGAGGAAAAAGGTTGTTCACAAGTATAGACACACTAGAAAATCAATATACTAAAACAGTTATTGCCAAGTAATGACATAGAGTTAGCTGGCTAGAAGGTTTAGAACAGAATAAACACATGTGGAAGGATAGGAGCATAGAAATAATTTCCTACCCTTCCTCTTTAATTTATTTAATACTATTTCCTGAGTTTCTACTTTGTGTCAGGACATACGATGATCTAAAAACATCAAGTTTCTGAAGTCACACGACATGTGGTTTTGGGGGTAAGACAGGGAACATGGCATTAAGAAAGCAGTTGCAAGATATGGTAAAGAAAGGAAACACAATGGGTCAGAAAGATAGCAGGACCTACTTAAATCCCAGATGTTTCACCACTGAAGAAGTTCTCATGGGGAAGAACCCATCAGACAGCTCCTTCATTTTGTCTCAGAGGAGAGCTTCTTCAGCTCCTCCAATGCTTGTCATTTCTTTATGTGGTGAAGTTGAATTCTTCTCTTCCAGTTTTTTTCAAAAAGATGTAATCAATTGTTGAGCTCTAGTTAACATATTGTGCTTTAGAATATTTGAATGTAGACCTCTATTCTAATAGTTCTTGGTAGTCACCCTCTAAACTTCCTTCTTTCCACTCGTCATTCTAACTTCTACTGGCCAGCATTCTCCCTCAGTTTCCATCTATGAAAACACATATTTTGTCTCCCTGTGCTCGACTTAATTCCTTTAACCCACTTTCCGTGCGCTCATGTGGCCAGACAAAGACTGCACACCCTCTGTTTCCTTAACACTTTAGGATGGATGGCAGATACATTTTAAAGGTTACAGTAATAAACAAAATAATATTATTATACTTATTACCCAATTACTACCAAAAATAAATAGCAAACACTTAGAATACATTTAAAAAGTCATTGTTTCACAAACATTGTACAGGTTTCTGCTTGTCTGCTTCCAGTTTCAAGGGATAGTATCAGCTTTTTTTTTTATTTTACTGAAGTCAGGCCATTTATAAATGTTAATATAATTCAAAATAGCAAAATCACCACCAGAATTCATTTTCTTTTCTCTTTGTCTTCCATGGCATTAGAATAGTTTGGGTTTATCCCTCTCCTTCTGTTTTGCCAGGCATTTGTGAGGATATTTTCTCGGCCAATCCCCTTTTTTCATCACAGCTTTGTGATTTGATTTTATAAAGCATTTCCTAATGTCAATTTTCCTAAATTTCAGTTGCATGAGATGCTTCCTTCTAGCATGTTTCAAGTGAATTTTTTTTTAAAGTAAAGAAATTCTGAAAATGGACAGTACGCTAGGCCACTTTTTGAAAAAGAAGATAAATGATCATTTAAAGGCTTTATAAAGGTCTGTGGGGGAAAGATAGTACTTTAAGAGTTGAGATTTTTAACTTGATTGAACACAATTCTCATGGAGTGGGGAAATTTGCATTTAACATATTGGGAATTTTTTGGAATTATTTAGGCAAATGGTTGCTCAAAGTGTCTGGGCACTGTTTCTCTCTGAGTGATAGTAAGTTAAAGTGGTTTAAAATGATGGCCTTTGGGTAAGGATTTTTAAAAAAAAATGTAATAAAAGATTTTCAAGATGAAATCATTCGAATATGAAAGAAGATTATAGTTCTTAGAAAAGAGGCAGTGATAAAGATGTGTATTTGGGTTGGTGAGGATGAAGATTGAATGGCAGAAGTCATAAAGCCAGCACAGCTGCTTGACACAAACCAAGCAAAGCTGAGCCGTATGATGGCCACCATGCCTCTTTAGGTTTTAATCTCCACCTGTTGTATACTTTGGGGAAATTTTAATGTTCGTACAATTTGAGGATATTGGATTGAAGGAAAATTTCTTATTAAGCATTTATGCCTTCTTCAAGGAGTACTGCTTCTAAGCTTTCTAGTAAAGTCCTGAGCATAGCTCCTCTCCTTTGGAAGATAGCCCCCTTAAGAAAATATACTTATCTACTTGAATTTTTTAATTTTTAAAAAATTTTTATTGAGCTCTACATTTTTTTTCTGGTCCCTTGTCCTACCTCTCCCCTCCCCATCAACCCTTTCGCAAGGTCCCCATGCTCCCAATTTACTCAGGAGATCTTGTCTTTTTCTACTACCCATGTAGATTAGATCTCTATATGTCTCTCTTAGGGACCTCATTGTTGTCTAGGTTCTATGGAGGTTGTGACACCCATAAAGAAGTCAGAAGTCTCTTTATAAGGCTAGGAAATATTCTTGAAACATCTGCCCTGTACTCACTCAGGAACAAGAGAACCAAAACAAAGTAGACTTAAAGGTCTACAAGATTTGGTGGCTACAGAAGTTAGCCACAGATCAGATTACAAATCTCTTCCTACTATACATTCAGGCAATTATGTGATATATACAGCAACAAAGTTAGATTAGCTACGGTTACCTCTGCCTTACACAGGGGCATACATTTATGAACAAAAAATGATGAAGAAAGATGACCAAAAAATGAAGTGTCAGGACCTCCCTTTCTTAGAAAAGTTAGCTCAGGCAGAGCCACTATGATGTCTTACAACCAAGGGTTAGACATAGAAAGAAATTCAATAAAGATATAAAATGCAAAACATTAAATTATGACAGAAACTGAGTAATAACTGAAGCACTTTTGGCCAAGAGATTTTTCTTGGGCACTTTGACAATTAAGAGTTACTAATAACTTTTTAGTAATGGCTATCTGCCCGGGCTGGCTTGGAGATTTTCTTTTGGTCTAGTGTCTCTGAAGCTGCAAAAGCTATCAGTCTAGGAACAGACTTACATGTGCCTCTAGATTCTTCCTTCCTTCCTTCCTTCCTTCCTTCCTTCCTTTCTTTCTTTTTGGTTTTTCAAGACAGGGTTTCATTGTAGTTTTAGAGCCCGCCCTGGAACTAGCTCTTGTAGACCAGGCTGGCCTCAAACTCACAGAGATCCACCTGCCTCTGCCTCCCAAGAGCTGGGATTAAAGGCGTGCACCACCACCACCCAGAATGCCTCTAGATTCTTAAAAATTGGTTTATGGGGATGTTGAGTAAAAATGATTGTAAAAGATAACACTGTTCTGTCACAGCTTATTAATGACAACTAAATTTATGACCCCAGATGTTCAAGAGTAAGTTAAACACATGTCTGGAAACAAAAATGATATGATCTATGCTTTGGTACAACTTGGATTCCTGCTTACTGAGTTCTGTATAAATAAAGAAGCACTTTGACCGCTGTTTAGTCAGGCTGTAAGATTCAACCATCATGCCTGGCTCATCCATCCCTCGTCAGCTTCTTATCTCCTTCTGGGACCTGGCCACCATGTGGGCTGAACCCTGGCAGGTGGGATTGATGTGGAATTTTCTGACATTTAAGTCATTGGTACTCCAGCACAGGGCATTTTAAAAGTAACATCAGTTCATAGATGGAGAAATTATGACCACTTATATGAAATGACTCATATTTAAAAATCTAGTGTCCTGTGTATGCATATTTCCCTGCATGCTTTTAATAGCTGTATTTCTGAATAAAACCATAACCATATTTAAATTTTTAGTAAAATACATTTACCTGTTCTTTGACACAATAGAAAATGATATAGTTCAAGGTCACAGTTAAGTGTGGTAACCGATGAGTGTCTTAGTTGTACATCATTCTCTTAGCAAGATACGTAATCTGTGGGTTTAACTGCAATTTCAGGTGGCCTCTTCTTACTTCAAAGACTTTCACCTGCTGTTAATTGGAGTCATCTGTTTAGCAACATCAATAGAAAAATGGAATTTGCACAAGAGGATTGCTCTGAGGATGGTGATGATGGTGGGTGTGAATCCGGCCTGGTGAGTACCTTGTTGACTTCATTTACACTACATCCTAAGCAGACCATTTTGTGTAGCGCAAACCACAAATCAGTAATGCAGAAAATGGCTGGGGTAGCAGGGTGACTGTGAAAATATGAAAAGGATATGAAGTGTGCTTGAGGGGTAGGAAGGAAAAAAAAACAACTTTTCTTTCACCACAGGTCAAATTTCAGGGAGACTGGAACAAATAACCACAACTCTCACCTTTAATGCATCATTGGAGTCAAAGATTAGAGGAGCCTTGAACCTCAAAGGAGGAGGCTGATATCTGCAGAGTAGATTTCAATCCCACTTTGTTTATTTGCCTGATTACACATTCAAAACTCATCCAAGAGCATCCTTTATCAACAGGGAGGATGTTATGAGCCAAAGACAAAGGCATTACTGACAGAATACAAATCTGTGCAGAGAAATTTCAAGGTGAACACATTTTTCTTTTCAATTCAAGTGTTGCAAAGTGAAACAATCAATTGAAATTTTTCTTCTATATGTGAAATTACTCATTTGACTGATTTCCCTTCACTGAAATGAATGTTTTTTATTCCATTAAATTAATTGGCTATTTGGGTTCTATTCCACCTCTTGTTATAAACACGAACATCAGCTAAGGAACATTTCCAGTGTCATAATCATTTGCATAATGTTTTGCTTTAAAGCCTTAGGTGGTTTTGCCCTTCTTATCATTTTTTGGAAAATAAGAAAAAAATGACTCCTGTTGCATAATTTCTTCAAGGGCATAGCAGAGTATCTGTTTACCCCTGTGGAGTACATTTCTCTGCTAAAATACTATGTGTGTATATTCATGCATGCTTCTCTGTGTATATATGACACATACGAGACAATTTGACAAAATACATTGCTTAGAATATTTAGTATGCAAATATATTTCTTTATAATGTATTTATTATGTACATACACTAGAAAAGCGTCTTCCTCTTGGGCATCATAGAAATCTTATCTATCTGGTCATTAGTCCGGGAGAGGGGATAGCATACTGCACAGTAAGGGAAGACTCCTATCTGTTACATCACTGTATGGCTCTTTGGTCTAAGGCATTTCCAACAGTGGAAGCTTTACCTGTTGCTAATATTATTTAATATGGAAGAACTATAATTATATAGATATCGACTAAAAGCTTCCATTTTTAAAATTAAGATTTACTTCTTGTTCAAACAAATTTCTAAGATGTTTTATGTTGCTCCACACATGGAAAATATTCCCCATACTCGAGTCTGAAACATGGTATAGAATTGCCTATATGGATCTATTTTTTGAAATGAAGATTTTATAATTGATACTTCATAGAAATATCTACTTCTGGATTATTTGGGTGGTCTCCTATCAGATCAAACTTTCCCCCAAGTTTGTTTTGAAATTTTATAAAAATGGTTTAAGGCCCAAAGTCTTAGATTTGTTATTTTAAGGATAAATTACTCTGGTTATAAGAGGAGACAAGTAGTAAATCTAATTCCTGACAGCAGGAAGAAATGCTAGGTTCCAGAGAATATAAATAATAGAATGTATAGAAAATTCTGAAACTTCAATTTATAGAGTGATTGTAACCATTATCTCCACACACTACATATTGAACCAGAAGAGTGAATGAGTAAAGTGGAGATTTATAAATATTAATCCTGTTCCTGGTTCTGCTTGGTGCACATACTAACAGAGAAGGGGCCAACGGATGAAATAAAAGCAAGGGACTCTCAGAAGTTGGTTGCATTTTCATCTTCCTTGTGTCTAAAGACAAATAGCTGTTCATTAAAAAGTACTCAAATATTAGTAACACTGCAAGCTATTTTTCTACATGCCAATTTGCAGTTAAATGTAAATGTAATGACTCATCTGGTTTTAGAAAGAATGCTCCCCCTAGAGCCTTTAAAGGGATATACAGGTTAATAACTATACTCTTAGATGTTTGACTTTGATTCTACCTGTCTGTATAACCACACTCGGATTTCCCCATCTGGACAGAAACTTAAACTTCTGTGTTATCAAACACACAGTTCCCAATCTGTAAATTAATAATTTTTACAGCTGAACATAGAGAGTTACGTGGGCTAGACAGCACAGCTCCACACTAAAGACCCTCTCATTTCAGGCTGACGTTGGGGTTCATGAGCAGCACTGCCTTCTTATCTATGTGGCTTAGCAACACCTCTACTGCTGCCATGGTGATGCCCATCGTCGAGGCTGTGGCGCAGCAGATCATCAGTGCTGAAGCAGAGGCCGAGGCCACTCAGATGACTTATTTCAATGAATCTGCAGCCCATGGACTGGAAGTTGATGGTATCATGTGTTGATATGGCCACAGTGGGGTCTGGTCATTTAGGCAGTAGGCATAAATCCAAGCATTCTGGGTTATATTTTGAATTAAGTATGCATAAATGCATGAGATTCATTCAGCCTCACCGTTTTTTGTAGTCCCCAGTGTCTATCAAAATGAATTCTACAAATATTTTTCTTTAAATTAACTGCTAAATAAATTCTCTGGCATAAAATGGAAGGATGCCTTTGTACCCTCCAGTCAGTTCAACAGAACACGCTCTTGTCCTTATCAGTAGACACCCAGCTTACTTTCCTTTTACCTGAATGGTTTTCCTGCATAAATTATAGATCATTAATTCTATATCCTATTTGGGTGCAATGCAGCATTAATTCCAACACTGGTATTTCCTGCTCTGATGAACTGCTCTGATTGCAATGGAAGATGTTGCAGGATATTTCTGCTTATAAAAGAAGAATGCTATTTTGGTGTAAGGTGAATTTGTTTACTTTTAATAATGCTTCCATCTTCTAATGGATACATGCACTTACATATACATCTGCACACATACACATATGAAGACCCAATAATAACTTTATTTAAATGTGGTTTCTTTCATTTAATATTTTACAGAAACTGTTATTGGACAAGAAACAAATGAGAGAAAAGAGAAAGCAACACCAGTTCTAGGGTAAAGACTATTGATATTTTGATAAGGATTTTCCAAATTAGATTTTAATGAAATTACAAACTGGGTCAATTTATGTTTCAGAAGCAGTAATGACGCAGGGAAAGTTTCAAGCAAGATGGAGACAGAAAAGGTATATTACATTTGATTCCTTCTAAATACTTGTACATGAATTACATTAGAACTGCAATTAGATACAAAACTATTATATACAATTACTTTCTATGACTAAGTCTGGTTGTGGTCCAATGGTTTGATAATCCTCTTTGGATAGACGTCCAGATAAAAATCATTTTTGGAACTATAAATCTGCAGCATTACTTTTTTTCCTTTTACTAGAATCTCAGTTGGCAATTATCCACTAAGTTTAGAGAAATACAATTCTACTTGTAGAATATTGTGTCCGTTCTTACTAAATCCTATTGACCTGTTATGCTGGTTTTCATTAACACCATCTCCATTTCTTCAAGACTTAAAACACCTTTTTCTGTATAATTACAAGTGATCATGTAATTTTAGTGTTCCTGTTGCCACTAAAAATTCAGTGTGGAATTCATGCGTTGTTTCTGTCAAATACAAGGCAAAGGAGTGGTAGTTAAAGAGAGGATGGAGAACTTAGTGAATGGCGCCATATGATTTGTTTCCTTAGAATAAATCCATATAAAACACTATACTACACTGCACCAGCAGCCCAATTTTTTCAAGATTGCTGAAAGTAGTCCTACTTAATAAGTCCTACAGTAACCATAGCATTAAGAAGAGGAGAGCAAAGCATATATCCTCTCATTGGACTGTGTGATACATTAACATGGAACTTAATGGGAAGAGGAACATTATTGTGGTTCATAGGAATTTCAAAGAGAGAGTTCTATGGAAAGAGAAAATAAATGCAAAGCAAGGTTTAAACCATTAGCTATGTCTACTGAAGCTTTTTACTACTAAAACATCATATATACTTACAAAAATGATGTTATCTTTGAGGATAGGACTATTCCTTATAAAACATTAAAAATTAACGGTGAGGTAGATGCGTTATAGAAACATACATTGGAAAATGAACTTTGCATATGCTCATGAAAACTAGCAAGTCTAAACAGAAAGAATAAAGAATATACACTCATGAAAACTAACAAGTCTAAATAGAAGGAATAAAAAATGTACACATAGCCAGGAACTTGCTTGGAGATATCTTTAGCAAGCAAGGTTTTTGGCACCATGCCTACATTTTTTTAATTCAAATTTACTTGCTATCAGTTGTGTCCTGGGCCTTGTAGGGGGAGATGTTATAAAACAGACTGCTCTTTATTATACATATTTCAGAATCTAGTGATTGTAAAACAACAAACAGACGCAGAAAAGCTACAGCAGAATTTGCCCAGAGGTCAACACTCCCAAAAAGAAGCACAATTAGTTTAATATGGGTATGCAATGGAGAAGGAGTATGAGATAAAGATGCTTGAGTCCGGGGGTGGGGGGGGGAATGACAGTCTTCATGAGAAGAGTGTAAATTTCTAGTCTTTAAGAAAAGTTGTATTTTATTCTAATTTTGACCCCAGCCTATCCCACAACCTGAAACATGGTAGGTATTAAACATTCACCAATTCAGGAATGAGTGACTACGAAGCGAGAAAATAAAAAAGACAAGCTAATCAGAGAGCATATTCATTAAAAGCACAGCACAGCTGAACTCCAAAGCCTCCCAGGTCTGCAGAACAGTACTAGAGATGAATGAAATAAAAGGGGCAGTTCTTTGAGCTGACAGTGGAGTTGGGTTGCATTGATGGTAACATTGTGAAAGGCAACGGGTATGGACCCTCCTGTTTTCTGATTAATAAGACTCTTGGAATGAGAAATTTATAGAAAATGTCTCCACTGTTCTAAACTGGGGGTAGACTGGAATATGGTACATTGAGATGGGGAACACAGAGTGAGGAAAACCTTACCCTTGGAAAAAGTAAAGCAGTTGGAGGCATACTGTAAGCAATAAAGATTGATATCGGCATTTAGGAAAGAGAAAAAGAATGTTAAGTTCTGATTCTAAGGGCTCCTCAGATTTTAATACTTTAAAATTCAGCTATCATAGAAATAAGTGGGTTTTTTGTTTTTGCTGTAGAATAGGCTTTTTGGAAAAGAGAACAAACATTACTTTGTATATACAGAATATATTTTTATTTAGTCTTTGAGATTTTCACACATTTATGTAAAGCATTTTGATGGTATTGACTGTCACTTCCCCTATTCCTCCCAAACTCTCAGCCAAAATTTGTCTCTTAACCATTTTCTTATCCCTCCCCCGCTTTAAAAATAAACCATGGAATCAAATTAGTGAGGCCTATAAGCACGCGTGTAGGGCCACCCAGTGGATCTGGAGCTACACTGAAGAAAATGCTCCCTTTCTAGCAAGGAACAACTGTCAAGAATTCCTCATGTAGGGGTTGACTTCATGAGTGCCTCCCCCTTCCATTCTGGAGTTTTTACTTGGTTGATCCAGTGCAGATCTTACATAAGCAGCTATAGCTACTGTGAGCACCCGAGTTCTTGGCTCTGTCACATTCACAAAATGGTTTGGCAATAGTCTTCTCTAACCTCTGGCTCTTCCTTGACATTCCTTGAGCCTTTGGGAAGGAAGGCATGATAAATATTCCACAATTAGAGATGAGCATGTTATAGTCACTTAAGCTCTGCCCTTTGAGCAGCTGTGAATCTCTGTATTAACTGTGGTTCACTTCTGGGGTGGAGGGCTTCTTTGATGAGGTCTGAGAAGTGCATTCATTTATGGGTATTTAAAAGGTAGTTTGATACTGTGTAGATTTAGCAAAATAATAATAGTAAGTTCTTTCTTGTGGCCCGTAAACTCCCCAGCCAGGCTGGTTTGGGGTCACATATCAGTTCTGTTGTATGAAGTGGGCTTTAAATTACACTAAAAAGTGCTTCGTTCTTCCTGTAATATACACACCACTCAATTCAATGAGCATACGTTGTCAAACTTGGTCACTAATATAGCTAACAGGGTTTATATCTGGGTGAGACTTGATGATTTTTCTCCCCCACAAGCCTGGAGAGCACCTCTTACCACTATGAAAACCTCCCAGATCATGACTGGCTTGGTTTCTCCAGGTTTTGTGCCCCAGCTGTGGTATCTTCAGAAATAGGTTCTTACCTTCAAGTTCTGTTGAGTAACCAGGAGCAATGACAATAGAGTGCATTATTTTGAAGTTCTATGACATGCCTCTGATCAACAAATCAAAGAGAGACACACATGGCACTGGGTTCTTTATTTGATAACCGCTTGTGTCTTGGAGAGCACTATTCACCTGTGTAGGGCAACTCTAAACCCTTTTTAAGACTTACTTTTATTATGCTTAATCTTGCATATGTGTGTTTCTCTTTTCTGTATATGGGTATGTACACATGAGTGCAGGGGCCCTGAGGAGGCTAGGACATGGTGTTAGATCTCCTGGAGTTGAAGTTGCAGGCAGATATAAAGGGCCAGAAGTAGTTTTAGGGAAGAACGTTGGGTCCTTTGCAAGAAAAATGTGTGTTCTTAATTGCTAAGGTATCTCTCCAGTGTCCATTTACACAGAAACACACACACACGAGGTTTATAAAATAATAGGTTTCCATATGACTCCTTCAAAACCCCTTATTGTTAATGTTCCTTTTCCCACCCTCTTGTCGGTCTTACCCTCCCACCACCTCTCCACTTTATCCATAGCCTCCCAATTTTAACATTTTTTTGCCTTTATACCACATGAGCTCTACTGCCCCCCCCCCCCATTAGCCCTTCTTAGTTTCCTGGCTTCTATAGGTACTCAAAAATAAAATCTAGGGGGCTGGAGAGATGGCTCAGTGGTTAAGAGCATTGCCTGCTCTTCCAGTGGTCCTGAGTTCAATTCCCAGCAACCACATGGTGGCTCACAACCATCTGTAGGGAGGTCTGGTGCCCTCTTCTGGCCTTCAGGCATACAGACAGAATATTGTATACATAATAAATACATAAATTATAAAAAAAACAAATAAAATCTACAAGTGTAAAATGATTTTGATTCTTAGCAAATACAGCTCTCACTTTTCAAGAATAAACAAGTCATGTCGTTTATATAGCGATTATAAAGAACTGCAGCTGTTCTTCATCAGGTTTACATTAGACAATTTAACACTGACTGACTATATGGAAAAATATATACCTAATTTATCTAGTTATGAAATAGAAGGCATATTTGAGTTCATAATGTTTTGTTTGTCTGCATTGTTCTTCGAGTAGATAGGGTGTTCTATTGATTAAAATAAACCTGGTATAGTTTGACAATGCATTTTATCTACAAGCCATAAAAGATAAAAATATTACTGGAGATGTGATTAGAAGGGACTGGAGAATGGTCAATATTTAGTGTTCCTTGAGTCTCAGAAACCAATCTAATAGTGCCCACATCAAAGGGGCACTTTCTTATGCTGCATACCTAGCATGGGGAGAATTTTTTTCTCACCAGGCTCTCCTCTCACTATAGGGCAAGGTCTAAGCATTAACAGGTATCCTCCTGATGCCAGGAATTAAAGTGATAGGTAAGTAGCTTGGCCATAAATTCCACACTACTCTCTAAAAACACCTGTAACATTTATAGAAAGAGGAACGGGAAAAAAGAAATGGTGAGCACAAAGAACACTGGAATACGTGGGTGATGATATCTCTCAGGTTCCATATTACAGATAGAAAACCAAACATCCCTTGTAGGATGTTCTAGGCCTCTGAAAATGAAATCGCAAACAGGAAAGGAAGCAACCACCAGCGGCCTCCAAGGTGAGCATTAGCATTATTCGAATAGACAGCTCAGAGTTTTATTCTCTCATAATCTCTCAACCTTCAGGCATCTTTGGATGAACAAAATTGGAAAATTGGTACGTTTTTATGAAAAACTGAGATAATTGTTTTTTATTCATTTAATATAACTTGTTGTTCCTCAGAGGTAAAAAAGTTTAAGAGAATATCCTTGAACAAATTGGATCAAGCTTTTAATTTGGTGTTGTTTAGTCTGGGGGTAAAAATTCTTATGATTGAAAATTAAATTATAGAAGACAACACTTCTTAGTTCTTGCCAAGAATTCAAAGTCTGGTAAGCATAGTAATAAATAGAG